GCTTCTATAGGAGATTTATAAAAGATTTTAGCATCATAGCTGCACCATTGAATGACTTAGTGAAAAAGAATGTTGTTTTTAAATAGGGAGATATGCAAGAGAAAGCATTCAGTGAGCTTAAAAATAAATTAACCAATGCACTATTACTTGTCTTGCCTAACTTTGATAAAACTTTTGAAATTGAGTGTGACCCAAGTGGTTTGGGCATAGGTGTTGTTTTGATGCAAGATGGAAAACTCCTAATGTATTTTCGTGAAAAACTAAATGGGGTAGCATTGAACTATCCTACCTATGATAAAGAATTGTTTGCTTTAGTTCGCACATTGCAGGTGTGGCAACACTACTTATGGCCTAGAGAATTTGTGATCCACTCTGATCATGAAAGCTTGAAGTATCTTAAGAGTCAAAACAAACTGAACCGTAGGCATGCAAAGTAGGTGGAGTTTATTAAGACATTTCCGTATGTCATCCAATATAACCAAGGTAAGGATAATGTGGTAGCTGATGCATTATCTAGAAGGTACAATATTTTTACTTCTCTTAGTGCAAAAATTCTTGGAGTTGAGCATATTAAAGAATTATATCAAGATGATCAAGACTTTAAAATTATTTATGCATCTTATCTTACAAAAACAGCGGTAGATGATTATTATGTGTTTCATGAATTCTTATTTAAGAAAAGTAAGTTTTGTATTCCTAAATGCTCCATCAGAGATTTTCTTGTAAAAGAAGCACAAGGTGGTGACTTAATGAGACATTTTGAGATTAATAAAACTTATAATATGTTGCATGAACTCTTCTTTTGGCCGAAAATGAAGCATGATGTTCATAAGTTTTGTAGTCAATGCTTTAAATGCAAAGAAGCTAAATCTAGATCACAACCAAATGGATTGTACATAGAACCTTGGACTAATATATCTATGGATTTTATTCTTGGTTTACCGCACACTAAAAATGGTAAAGATAGTATTTTTGTTGTGGTAAACAGATTTAGTAAGATGACTCATTTTATTATATGTAACAAGGCAGACGATGCAAAACATGTTGCAGACTTTTTTCTAGGGAAGTAGTAAGACTACAAGGAATCCCTAGAATAATTGTTAGTGATAGGGATGCTAAATTTCTAAGTCACTTTTATAAAGTATTCTGGGGTAAATTGGGTACCAAATTGTTGTTTTCAACTACATGTCATCCTCAGACGGATGGACAAACTAAGTTGGTTAATAGAACATTAGTAGCATTGCTTAGGGCTATCATTTTTAAGAATATTAAGTCTTGGGATAAATGTTTGCCATTTGTAGAATTTGCATATAATAGAGCAATTCATAGTACAACTCATTGTTCTCCTTTTGAAGTTGTTTATGGATTTAATCCACTTACACCTCTTGATTTGCTTTCTATTCCTTCTAATATGTTTGTGAGTGACGCAGCCACAAGTAAGATAGGCTTGATCAAAACATTGCACAAGGAGGTGAAAGAGAGAATTGAGAACCAAAATTTCAAAGTTGCTTCAAGGATTAACAAAGAACGGAAGGAAATCATTTTTAAACCTGGTGACTGGGTTTGGATACATTTTCGCAAGGAGCGATTTCCATCTCAACGGAAGACAAAGTTACATCCAAGAGGGGATGACCCTTATCAAGTCGTTGAAAGAATTAATAGCAATGCATATCAAATTGATCTTCCCGGAGACTTTTCAGTACATTCTACTTTTAATGTTGCTGACTTGAGTCTTTTCGATGTAGGTGATGATTTTTCTGATTCAAGGACGAATCCTTTTGAAGAGGGGGAAGAATGTTGCTGACTTGAGTCCTTTCGATGTAGGTGATGAATTCAAGGACGAATCCTTTTGAAGAGGGGGGAGAATGTTGCTGACTTGAGTCCTTTCGATGTAGGTGATGAATTCAAGGACGAATCCTTTTGAAGAGGGGGAAGAATGTTGCTGACTTGAGTCCTTTGGATGTAGTTGATGATTTTTCCGATTTGTGAGGATGAATCCTTTTGAAGAGGGGGAAGATGATAAGAATCATGGTGTTCCAAATGTTCCTATTACACGATCCAAGGATCCAAGGATCGCAAAAGATGATAAGAATCACGGTGTTCCAAATGTTCCAACTGGACCTATTACACGATCCAAAACAACTTTAAAATGTCAGCAACAGAATTCAAACCTATGTGCAGAGAGCTCAATTGATTTCGAACCTGTCGCATTAACCACTCAAGCACATCAACATTTGTTAGAAAAAACTATTTTTAATTTCATAAATGATGTAAAAGTCAAAGGGTCAATTTGACTTATTCTTTTGTGGAGATTAAAGGGGATCGGGAATAAATCCCGTCCACAAATGTCTTTTGTTAGGAGACTATAAATACCCACAATATGTTATGTAAAATTCAGATTCGTGGATGAATGTAATTCAGATCTCAAATTGAGACGTTTCCCTTAGAAATCCGAGTATCATATTTGTCATTTCTAAGTTTCAAGCAATTCTTGTGGTAGAATTGCACCCGAGCCATTCAATAAAGCCTTGGTCAAGTTCGATTGTGGAGTGACTCAATTTAGAACAAGGTTTCCAAATCTTGCTTCTAGATCTTCGATCATAGGAGGTAATCTAATTCTAGCCTTATCTCTTGGTTGATCCAAATTTCGTATAGGAGGTGTTAATTACTTTGATTCAAGGGTTCTTGCTTCAACAAAAGCTTGATCGTTGGGCTAAGGATTAGGGTTGCCTTATCCAAACTAGGGGTTCCACTAACCTCTGGACGTCGCAACAGAGTAGCTTGACCAGAGAAGGCCCAGTGGGTGTGCGAGCCCTCTGAGGACTCACACTTGCACGTGTGGATCGTGTGTTGGGAAGTACTACACATCTATAGTATTCCAAGATTTGAGGTCACACCTAGATTAGATAGAGATAGGTCCCAAGAGCATGATTGCATGTGTTTGCATTTGCATGGCCCCCCAGGGGGTAGTCACTTACTGAGTATTCTTTGAAATACTCGGTGTGTCATATCATTTTTTAGGCAAAGGCAAGGCGTACATCGATGAAGTTTTAGGTTTGAATAAGTTTATGAAGTTTTAGGTTAGAATAAGTTGTTTTCCCTTTCATTGATTTAAATTATTTTGTATTTGTTTTTTTTTTATTTTCTCTAAATTTGAGTATTTCATATTTAAACACGTAAGACCAGGACTGTATTTTCCAGATGAAGGATGTTTTAAATGTTTTCAACATTTATACTATAGATGAAATTTTATTTTAAGAGTTATATTTTCGCATAAGAGATGAGCATAAGACCTTAGTAACGACTCTGAATATGAAGAAATTTAAGATCGTAACACCAAGAAAATGATATACGGATATGAGACACAATTATGACACCACATGGACAAGATGTCATGCCATTTTATAAAAAACCTAAGATATAAATAAGACATAACACTCTTTCTTCTTCTTCCTTTCTTTAACCTTCTTAATCTCTTCATTTTCACAATTAACTTTTTTCTTAAACAAAAGAACTCAACGTGAAAAGGGAGAAAGGAGGAGGGAGGTGAAAGAAAACCCTTTATTCTAAAAAGTATTAAAATTCTTTGACCCATATTATAAAAAAAAAACATGAGAATAACTTATTCTCATGCTCCATAGCTTAGGCTTTTATTTCCCTTTCTTATTTCTTTGTTTTTTTTCATATTCATTCGATAATTAGTCCATCTAATATTTGACAGGCTAGTTTTTAAACTATTTTAAATGAGTGTAAAGAAAGAATTAGAACAACTTGACAAGTGTTGGACATGTATTGAACCCTCACATGTGAGTACAATAGATATGTTATACATTTATAATCCAACCTTTCACATAAGACCCTTGACTTTGAGGGAATATACATTAAACTATATTAAACTATTTTAAGCATACAAATATATAAATTTATTTCTATTATAAAACTTAAAAAATGACATGTTACCCTATTTGTGGTATCATATTTAAGTCTCGTATTCATATCTCTATATTTTTTTTTTTACTCATATTTGACTTCTATAAATAGATATTCTTAAGAAAAGAAGTTTAAGAAATTGATATTTATTGACCTGGATATTTGGAGCTCCTATTCTTCTTATTGTAAATCACTTAAATAGAATAATAAATGTTAGTACCATAGGAGAGAATAATTTATCATATTTTTTTTTTAACTTTGAAAAATAAGAGAGAACTAAAATTAAAACCCAACCAGAATGACATTTTCTTGTCATGTGGAAACCTAAAATATTTTGATATAATTTAAGATAAGTGGTTCCATCTAACTTCATCCAAACTTCTATTTATAAATTTAATTAACCTTAATTATATCCAATTATTACGGGTCATTTATTACTAAAACTTAAAAATATACCTACAAAATATTTGAACTACTCGTAACACACTAGTCTCGATGGTTTGATTAAAACAATGTAACCATCATCTCAATTAAAGAATTTTATTCGAAGCTATCTCTTAATAGAGGAATGCTCAACTAGTCTTTGTTGTAAGATTCGACTATATCAATTTGAATAGCGTTCAGCAACAACTATAAATATCGAACTCCAAAGTATTCGTAAGCAAAGTAAGTTTGTCGAAATTATCTAGCAAAGGTGTTCAAAATGAGTTGTGGAGAAGTGTTGCCTTCAAATCTAATTCCAATGAAGAAGAAGTGCAAAAAGCTGGAAGGTTTGCCGTTGAAGAGAGTAACAGGAGTGGTTGTGGACATCATTTCATTTACAAGCGTGTGGTAAACGGTTTGTTCATTCCAACCAACTTAGGTCTAATTGATAGAATTTATATTATTGTGATAGAAATTATAATTGATCATGATGATATGCCTTGGTCATATATTGCAAAAGTGGGGTTCTAACGCATCCCTGGACACGGGTCGTTCTCTTATCCTTTGAAGATGTTCTCAAAGATTTCAACAAGAATTAGACTGTTCTCTCTCCTTTCACTAAGTCATCTATATATATATATATATAGGGGTGTTACTATCTCTTAACTATGAAAATGGCATAGGCCACAATAAAATAATCACATAGTTACCTATATATATTTATCTTACCAAGCTTCGTTACCACTAAGTGCATAGGAGGACTATAAGTAAAAACAACTCAATTATTTTATAAATTCTCTAATTTTAATCTTCCAACATTTTATTTTGCCAATGTCACCTCTTCGAGTATAAATATTAAAATGATTAGTTATTAAACATGGCTTGAATTAAAACGCATATAATTTGAATGATCTTCAAATTTTAATTTAATTCATAAAAAATAAATAATATAATTAGAAAAGATCAAAATAATATGTATAGAAAGAATTTACTGCAATTACTTTCTTCAAGACCTTTAGTCAAGAAGTAACTTCGCCATTATAAAATTAGGCAATAACTAAAAAATAATTTTAAGAAAAAAATGAAAAAAAAAAATCTTAATCCATGTGTAGGCTACTCCTAAGAGAAACAAAATAGTTTTTTATTTAATTCTAAATAAAAAAAACATATTTATATGACACATAATTTTTTAAAGAAGTTGAAATAAAAGGACATACATCTTTAATAAGATCACATAGTGTTAATTAAATAGTTACGAGGGAAGACGCTAATAGTTAACAAAATTTGTTAATAATTTAATTTCGCTTGAGAGTAAAGTGGATTCTGGTCATTACTTGGATAAGCTTCATCGTCGTGGAGAGTTATGAGATGACTCAATCCTATTGAAATTCAAATTGTCATGTTAGATGACGAATTTGAAGGCTTATGACCCTCAAAATAATTATAAGGGATGATTCCGAAAGATAAATAAGTTAGAGTCATAAAATCCAGGAGTTTGTAGGTGTTCTTGACGAAGTTAAACTCATAAAATATGAATGGATCTACAAAAGAAAAATTATGTATAGATAAGAAGATACATCTTCAAAATATGACTCATGATGCAGAGTTGAACTTAATAGGAGAAATTAGTGAGAAGTATACTTTCTCTCTGACACTTAAAAGTCTATTATTATTCTCTAAATCATTTGTGAGAAGAAATCTAAGAGAATGCATTAAAGATCTAAAGGGGTAAAAATTCATTTTTGAAATGAATTTAACCTATAGATTTTTTAATAGAAGGTTTGATAACCTATGACTTTAAATAAATTGTAATGAGGTTGTGAAAACAAGAAAATTACTAATTCGTCGGTCGATTTTCTCAAAAAAAAAAAAAAATTATGTTGATGACATATTACTTATTATGAACTTTTTAATGGTTCAATCTAACCTAAATAGATGATTATCTAACCAATTTCAAAGGAATGATTTAGGATAATTTTGTATGTCCTAAAAATAGAGATTTAAGGATAAATGTTAATATTATCTTATATTGACAAAATTGTTGTTAAATATTTATTGCAAGACTTCTTAAAGATAATGATCATTGAAATATGAAGTTAGGATCTCTCCTAAGTGGGAGACAATTAATGCATACATGAGAATTCGTTTAATATATAGTTAGTTAGGATATGTTAGTTAAACTAATGGTGTGACCATTAAATGAAAAATTTAAGTGTTCTCAGAATGGATAATGAGAATTTTTTTATTTTGTGTATGGAGTTAAAATTTGATCTATAAGTGATACACGGGTTGTTACATAAATTTAGAGAAATTTATGTTAAAGATCAATTTTACCTTAGATTGTGAAAGTATGATAACAAACGGAATATTTTTTTTGCTTTTAAAGCAAATGACTTGTATGATTAATTTCTTAAACATTTGAAAGGTGTTTCAGATGTGATTTAGTCTGTCACTTTTTATTGGGATGATAGTGATACAAAGACTAATATTAAGGAAATTATAAAAGATCAATCTATAAAGAATGATATTGAGAGAGAAAACCTGACCAAGATGACTTTTAATAATAATTATTTTGATTTATATAAAATGACTCTCTAGGCTAAAGTGTTTGAGGGTCACTTAGAATGTCTAGGATTACTACACATGTCTCATATTCTCTAGGGGAAGTGGAAGAACAAATTGGGTATAGAGTATGCCCTAGGACACATATCTCACTAGTTTTAGTGCAAGAGGGAGATTGTTGGGATCTATGTCCTACGTCTACTCCAAAAATGCTGGATTTTGCAAAGCTAGAGGTCTTAGTATCCTTGCAAACTTTCATAAAGAAAGCAAATTTAACGAATTGATTTCAACCAATAGTGGATTAGAAGGATGCACACAGAAATATACCAGCCTTTTGTATACCTATCTGAATCCAATTTTAAAAAATTGGATTGCAAAATTTTATTAAAAAGAAAAATAATAGAAATTTGATTATTCGTAATCAAATTAAGATGGTTGTGTCTATGAAATTCAAATTAGTAACATTATTATTACTAATCAATAATAATTTATAAAACAATAAAAAAAAGGAGGCTAAGGAGATTTCATTTTATGGTAAAAAATTCAGCTCAATTATTTCGCAAGAAGAAAAAAAAGAAAATAGAGGATGAGTTGAATTTCAAGTAGTCAGTTTCACCAATAAGATACGAAGACTTACTTCCCATTTGGAATTGCACAAAAAAGACTATTTATCTCAAAGAGGACTCTTAGATCGAACTTGGAATCTATAATGGTCATACTCTTAGATCCACTCATCCCAGAATTAGCTTAATCATGACTAATCCAATGAATCAATTTTAACATCAAACCTAAAGCAAGGTTTGAAAAAAACATAACACCCAAAACGTTTCAAACACAAGGTTTTTGTATTCCACCATGTTTTCAAACATGAATATTACATGTCTTTAAATAGGCCAAAAAAATAACTCAAACATAATGTAGTCAACTAGCAACGACAAACTACAAGCTATCAATAAGAGCTAGTAAATACAAATTTAAGAAAATAAGGCATGACATAAATAGTCTTAATTGATAATTCATCTATCAAAGACAAAAGTCTTCTACTCACTTTCCAATGTCATGTAGAGTTTTTTTGTCACTCCATTATTTTCTTGATTTGATATGCTAATGCCATAAAGGTTTTTGGGCCCAAAAGTCTTAGTTTAAACTTATACAATAGCTGGCCTTTGAAGATGCAATGCATAGGCCTCTTAAATCTTCTTAACTTTACTTCTTGTAATCCGTACATGCAAATGTTCCGTAGTTGAATTCATATCATCCCCTTTTTTAAAAGAATTTGTCCTCAAATCAAGGTTTTCATTCCCTACGTCAAATGAAGTCAAATCAGACACATGAAAAGTAGAACTTACATTGTACTCACCTTTGAGATCTAGCTTGTATGCATTATCATTGATTCGCTCTAGTACTTAAAAAGAACTATCTCCTCTTGATTGAAGTTTAGACTTTCTCTGATTTGGAAACCTTTCCTTTCGTAGATAAACCCAAACCCAGTCACCTTATTTAAAAATTAATTTCTTTCTTCCTTGGTTCTTGTGAGTGACTAGTTTTTTATTTTTGTTTTCAATTCTTTCTTTTATGTCTTTGTGAATCTTTTTTTTGTATTCGGCTCTTGAAGAAGCTGCATCATTAGCAAATATATTAGGTGAAAAAAGTGATAAATCCATAAGAGTTAAAGGATTAAATTCATACACAATCTCAAAAGGTGAACAATGAGTGGTGCTATGTATCGCTCTATTGTATGCAAATTCCACAAAAGGTAGAGTCTCTTTTCAAGACTTAAGATTTTTAGAGGTTAGTGACCTAAGTAAGGCTCCTAATGTTCTATTAACGACCTCAGTTTCTCCATTGGTTTGGGAGTGATAAGTTGTAGAAATAGAAGTTTAGTTCCCAATTTTCCCCCACAAACTTTCCCAAAATGGCTTAAAAATTTTAATCCCTATAACTAACAATGTTTTTCGGAATACCATGCAATCTAACAACTTCCCTAAAGAATCGATTAGCTATGTTGGTAGCACCATCTGTTTTGTTACATGGAATGAAATGTGCCATCTTACTAAACCTATCAACCAGCTCAAAAATGCTATCATGGTGTCTTCTAGTCTTCGGTAATTCTAGAACAAAATTCATGCTAATGTCAATCCATGGTTCACTAGGAACATCTAAAGATGTGTAAAGATCATGTGGTTGTGTCTTAGACTTAGCCTCTTACCTTTAAAACCTTGCTTGCATACTTTGTTACATTTTTCCTCATTTTCAACCAATAAAAATGTTGACACAATATGTATGTTTCAAATTCTCCAAAATGTCCCATAAGTCTTCCCCCATGAGCCTCCTTCACAAGTATCTCTTAAATAGGACATTTAAGGATACAAAGTTTTCCCTTCTACACATTTCATACACGTCATAAAATTTAGATTTTTCCACTTTGTACAATTCAATCATGTGTTTAAAACCAAGAATTTTTGCAGTAAGTGAAGAAAATAAAGCATACCTTCTTGATAATGCATCTCCAACCACATTATCCTTTCCCTTTTTGTACTGGATTATATAAGGAAATGTCTCAATGAGTTCCACCCATTTAGCATATCTCCTATTTAGCTTTGTTTGGCTTTTGAGGTGCTTCAAGCTTTCATGATCCGTATGGATAACAAACTCTTTTGACCACAAATAATGTTGCCAAACTTGCAAAGCCCTCACAAGTGCACAAATAATGTTGCCAAACTTGCAAAGCCCTCACAAGTGCACAAATAATGTTGCCAAACTTGCAAAGTCCTCACAAGTGCATATAACTCTTTGGCATAAGTTAGATAGTTGAGTTGTGCTCCATTAACCTTTCCACTAAAGAACATGATTGACCTATTTTTCAGCATTAAAATAGCTCCTATGCATATCTCACTTGCATCACATTAAATTTCAAAAGATTTATCAAAGTTAGGTAAAGCAAGACAATGTCCATTGGTTAATTTATATTTTTCCTTCCATTCAAATGAATTCTCTTGTTTTTTCCTTCCATTCAAATTTCACAAGCTTTTTAACAAGTTCATTTAGTGATGATGCTATGCTACTGAAATCCTTAATGAATCTCCTATAGAAACTAGCCAAACCATGAAAAGATCTTACCTCGATTGCATTTGTGGGTGTTGGTCATTCTCTAATAGTCTTTACCTTTTTTTCATCAACTTGTACTCCAGACCCCTAGGAAGTTGACTTTGGTCTAGGCAAAAGCTGCACTATTTGAGCATAAAGCTTTCTCTTCTCTCAGTTTTAAGCAAAATTTTCTTAACATGCAAAATATGATCATTCAAGCTTTTTGAGTAAACAAGGATATCATCAAAGTATACAACAACAAATTTTCTAATATAGACTCTCAAAACATGATTCATTAGATGTCATAGAATTCATTTTGATCACAAAGCTTTTGTTAATTAAATCGCTCTGAAATTTCTGCACACACAGTACTATTGAAAGTATATCCTTTTTAATTGTTGAGTAATTCTTTGAGTAGAATTCTATATTCCCGAATGAAAGCGGACAATGGATTCTTTCTGTCAAGGGACTGTTTCAGGATTCCTCCATATCCAATATCGGATGAGTCGGTCTCCACTATTAAACTAGCCCTTGGGTTTATCAGCGATAAACATGGAATTGATTTGACAAGGGATTTGATTTTTTGGACTGTTTTGGTGTGTTCTACTTAATATAGGAAAGGAAATTAAATTTTATTTCTTTACTAAGGCTTTTGACTCTAACTCCTTTTCAGTTATTTTGAAAGGGTATAATTGAGTAAGGAAAGGAGTACCTAAGATTAACTCTTGTCCTAAGTCCTTTACTAAAAGGAAGGAATTTACGAAGCAAATTCCATCATTGCAAACATGAACTTTTGATAATTTGTAATTGATTTTGAGTTTGTTGTTCTTTGCACCTCTAAGGCCCTAGTAGTTTTTTCAAAATACTTTGTAGGTATTAGGCCTTCTTGAATGCAATTTTGATCGGCTCCTGTATCTATGAGAGCCTTTAATGTGATTTTGAAATCATAAATTTTTAAGGTAACGAGAATGTACCATATTTGATATTGAGAAGTGGTGATGGCTCCTACAAAGGAACTTTGAAAATCCTCTTCATCTAGGTTCGGTTGCACCGTTTCTCTTTGTTCGGGCAGTCTTTCCTGAAGTTTGAGAATTTCTTGGTGAAACATATAAGATTCTGACCTGGTTTCAGATCTTAATGCTTGTACTTCTTGTTTGAGATTATTAATCTCTCTTTGTAGGTCTTAAGTAGTGAGTTCTCTCGGTTTTTCAAACCTTTGGAGAACTGATTGAAGTCTGTAGGGATTTCTTTCATCCCTTTCAGGTGGCTTAGAGATTGTCATGACATCTCTAAGTCGTTGAGCAATTTTCTGTTGAATTTCTGGATCTTGAACTTTTTCTACTACCTCGAGTAGAATTTCTTGATCCTTTATAAGGACATTTATGCATCCTTCGTACGTCCTTTTTCCTTCTTGTTTGGATTCGTATTCTGTGCTAGAATATGAATCGGATTCTTCTTGAAGTTCGAGGATCTCTCCCTCGCTGGATTGTTCTGAGTTGGTTAGAACTAGTCATAGTAGCTGATCCTTCAGCTCTTGATCAATATCCAACTCATTGATCTTTCCTTTGATCGGACATTTATTAGCATAGTGTCCTTCTTCTCGACATTTGAAGCAAGCTTGCCTTTTCTTTCCTCTATGGGTTTTTGTAGGAGTATACCTCTTCTTTGAATACGTTGGCTTTTGAGATTGCATGGGTTTACTCCGATACTTTTCTCTAGGCCTGTATGAATTATAAGGCTTTTGATACGTTTTAACCTTCTTTCTTCTGGAGGTTGAGGGAGCTTTTATCCCCTTGCATCCATATTGGTCGCAAAATCGTCCAAGCTCTTTTTTGTCTGATATCGAAGAACTAAGCTTGTTTTGAATCTTTGACTCATTACAAAGTCTGAGTCCTTCTATGATGAAGGATACTATGGATTCATATGAAAAAGTTTGCCACGGAATGGTTCCATTATACTTTGTCTTAAGACCGTCTTTGATCCTCCTTGAGAAGTATTTTGGTAGTCCATTGACAAAATTCTCTTTCCAGAATTCCAATGAACTGTTTGTTCTAATGAGAACTTTGTTGAAATACATGTCTTTGTACCACCTAAAAGCGCCTAAAGTAGGGCATTTCAAGTTCATGAGTATTTCGACGGATCCCTCCTGGTATTTCAGGGGGGTCGCCAACAAAAAATTCTATGAGGGTATAAACGAGGGTGTTGATAGCATCCTCTAACCTTTCATGTTGTACTTCGGTCCTAGTTGATGTACCTTCTTCTTTGATGATTTGAGTAGTTGGCCTAACAACATAGTGGTTTATTATCTGTTATCGAGTTCCTTCGTCGAGATATTTGTCCCACCAGTCTTTGAGCTGCCCGGTAAATCCGATCACTAAAACTTGAGCTATTTGATGGTCGGATTTATGGCTCTGTAATTTATACGCGTCTGCAGCCATCATCATTTCATTGACAACATTCATTATCATATAGTTGGACAATCCATCGATATTCCATTCATAGATTGCTTGGCCAACGTAATGAGCTTGAGTTTGTAGTGTCTTTTCTTCGAATTGAATATCCGGAAAAGACGGTTGAGGATACTAGTTTTTCTAATTACTGGTATTATTTTGACTTCTCCTGGAGATTCTTTCAATTCGATTATAGAGAGGTTCTTCTACCTCATTTACAATCTCGTCTACGAATTCCTGGACTTCGTCGTCATTGTTAACGACATTGACAGATGAATCTTGAGGTGTTATGACAGGATTTAGTATCCTGTCCAATTTTTCCTCTATCTTGGCCATTGTAGCCTCTTCTTTTGAAATCCTTTTTGTAAATATGTCGAGATTTGCCGGTCTGAGTATTGGGATTGACTCATCAACCTTTGGTACAGAGCTGCTTGCTTGTTCCTGCTGAGTACCTGATTTCTTTGAGATTTTTCCCTCGATATTCTCAAGTTGAGTAGCGATCGTGGATAAAATCTTGTTTGAATAATTATTTTGATGCTAGATATTCTTGATATCCTTTAGGGTCGGATTACCCCTTTCTAGTCCTTCTAGAATAGTTTTGAAAAGACTGGCTTTGACCTTTTCTCCGTATTAGTTGTCAAATTTGACTTCTTCCAACAGAGGATGTTTTGAATATACCTCGCCTCTAGTCTTACAGCTTCTCTGAGTCAAGGTGTATATTTGCAAAATATTTTCTTCAAACCATTCGAAAAATGGTATATTTTCTTCTACAGTTTCCATAGGAGAATAACACTGAGCTCTTAACTCATTTCACTCAGCTTCTTTGTAGGTTTGGAAGAATGCATTTCTTTTTGAAGAGTTGGTGGTTGACATAAAATTGTCTTTAAAAATTCTGTCTATTTGGAAATCAGCTATAATGACGTTCAGCTGGCTTTCGTAGACGGATTGAGTATCTATATCAGTATGGGTTGGAGATCTCGAGCCATCTTCATAGTGGATTGATGCTCTTCTTTGATCATAACTGACCTCCTTTATTTTTAAGGAGTCATACGTAGGTCTTGAAACTCCTGAAGTGCTTGGTCTAGAATTCAAGAATTCTTTTACTTTTGAATCTGACGAAGATTCTTCGCTGAACTTTATTTCAACGCTTCCATCGTCATGTTCAATGATTTGTAACAGGTTTTGAGATTCCTTTCTTTTTGGAAGATTTGCATCTTCTATTTTCCAAAGATTATTTATGGTTATTTGATCCCAAGAGAGTGCTTTTGGGACAGTCACTGAGGACTTTCCAACATTTGCTTCTATGAGCATGGTTGATCCCTTTGGCGAGGATCTTAATGCTCTTGGAGAGATGTTTGTATTCATGAGCTTATAATAAACTCTGAATATGACGACTGAAGAATGAGTTTCAGCCTTGATGTTCAAATTCTTTGATTGTAAGTCCAGCATAAGTGTTGACAATACGTGTGGGTCGTTGAGAGACAAAGTAAAATTTGGATAACAGTTGAAATAGATGGGTCCATTCTCTAAATTGGATTGAACCATTCCCAATAAAGAATTTGAGAAGTCTTCATATCTATTTATCTCCTAGGGAGATAAGGACAGGAATATCTAGTCCAACTCTAAACAATGGTTTTACGGCGACTTGAACAAGCCCAACGTAAAGATAATTAAACTCTTCACGATGTTGGAGTCTAAGAGATTTTGAAAAAAAATTTAGAGATTCTATGAATTGGGATATTTTTCTCTAAGAATTTGATGCATGATCTATGATCTTTGAGTAAAATGGATGGTTGACATTTGGTAGATAGTTTTAGGATCTACCTTTGGAACCGTCCAATTTTGGAGTTGATCTTCAATTCTGGCAATCTGATATTCTTGATTGACAGTATTTGAGATAGTGAGATTTTCTCCTCTTCTATATTCATTTGAACTTTCTTATTATTCCGTAGAACATTTGAGATGATTTGATTTTCTGAACTTTCTAAAAAATTCATTCATAAGATTCTGAGTTTTCCAATTAATATTCAAGAGAGAGCTATCGGTCGATCAATGTCCTCTTTACATTGATGAAGTCATTTTATAGACTTTGGATTTGAACTTAGATTTGAAAAACGTAAACTAAGAGATAAGATCAAATCTAGCAGGACAGGACCGCGCGAGATCTGTTTTTCAAAAAGTTAGAAAAAGACCTAAAGTAAATTCACATGAGCCTTCACTGTGTGGCTGACAAGTTGTCAATCTCTGTTTTGTCTTTAATAAAGGTGTCACGTTGTAGATAAGATTTTTTTCATAATTTTTCATATGACTAAACACCCAAGCTTGCCAACGGACTTACTAGAGCTTGCCAACGGACTTACTGCGCTTTCCGTGTCTTCAGCTATCACATACTCCAAATTCTTCTGAATTTCTCTCACCTTCCTTCGGATTACTGTGTTCTCGTTCTTCAAGATTGAGTAACTCCTCTGCCTTCACAAAAATTGAGACTCTGATACCATTCTCACGCTTAATGACTTGAACCCTTACAATTTACATGAGCTCTGTCATCCTAGCTTAATGTACGGATAATTTACATTCAAATCTACACAATACACGTTATAAAGTTTTTTTTATTTATTATTATTTTTAACAAATAAACAAATATTAAACATCATATTCACACTTGCTCTATGTTAATATTTTATACGTTGAAAAAGTAGGGATAATACTGATTCATTAAAGTGATATTGATGAGTAAACCCTTCTCATAGTATTGACTACTTTGTAATCACCCACTTCCTTCAGCATAGATATCATGTTTTTAAGATTTAATATCCTATTTATCTTCATTCTCAATATAAATCTAATTTTTTCTTTTTTGCTATTTTATATAATTTTTTATTTATACACTATTATTAAAAACTATCATAATTTGGTTTGAATCCTTCGCTCATTGAATTAATAATTTTTATTCATTTATTTTTAAAGAGTGGCATGTTATATTATTTAAAAGAGTAAATAATACCATTTCATGAAAAAATCTATTGATTTAATATTTAGATTAAAAATTTAAAAAAATAAATTGAGAATTATTATAATTAATATAATGGAGATTTTGTAGGTAACAAATAAAAGGTAAGAGTGAATTATTGGAAAATCATATATTTAAAAGAAAAATAAATAGAAAATATAAATAGTAATTTCCAATATACAAGCGAAAGAAGGACGAGAAATGAAGTTCCAGTCCTAAGCTCCCCCAACAGACAACAAATCAAAATCAAAATCAAAATCAAACGGAGAAAGCCTCTGACCGTCTGAGAGGGTCATTGCTTCCTCTCTGAGACCATGAGCGGCGGCCCCTCTGGTTTCAGTGCGTCCTCTTCAATTTCTCTCCTCTTCTGATGCTTAACCACCCACTTTCTCCCTTTTTCAATTTCTGTTCCACCTTGATTCATTTGCTCCTGTTCTTCTCTCTTTCGCAGACAATGCCCCTGTCACCCGGACCTTCATCATTGCCTCCGCCCTTTTCACCGTTTTCTTCGGGATCCAAGCCCGCTCTATTAAGCTTGGCTTGTCCTATCAGGTACTCTTCTCTCTCTTTCACTACCCAGATGCTTTTTCGCCAACTGTGGGTTGGTTTTATGTTCGAGACTAGGGTAGATTCGCTTCTTCGGTTAAGACGAGTCCTTTGCTTGGTTGAGTGTTTGACCTTCGATTCCGCGATGTATTGAGCATATACCCAGATTATAGATCCAACCGGCCGAGTTAATTGATGCATGATTGAAACTGGGGATCCTCTTTTCCTCCTGTATGTAATCACTTAGTTTAATCGACCATAGGGGCCTCTGCAATTCTGGTTTTGAATTGTATCTATCTTTAAGTAATTTTTTTTTTTTTTTTTTGTTGCTGGCTGGGGAAGGTGTAGCAGAAGTTGTCTCGTGGCTGGTTGTACGTTATGTGACTTGCCTATGAAATGTTTAGGTGTTCCTATCAGGAGATAATCCAAGTTCAGTAACATTTTTGGAGCCTGGTAGATATAAATTTTTGGTAGACTAAATAAGGATTAGTTCTAATTTGTGAAAAGAAGGTAGACTTTGGTACAGTCAGTTCCTAATTAAGTCATCTAATGAGATATTACATCATGTCCCTTCAATAAATCCCTAGAAAGAGGATCGTACTGACATGGGAAAAATAATTGTGAAGATTTTTGCATGAGCTTAGGAGATTTGGCACAATGTTATTGTCATCAAATTTGGATGAAAGAGGCAGGTTATTTTGAAGTAAAAGAACCTTAGTTGGTAACACCCATGGTCTTTCATCCTAAAGCTATGAACTAGTGTTGTGAAATTTTTGGAATTAAGATGGTGGGACGATATTTGGTTGGATGGGCAACTCTTGAATGACCCTTTTCCAATGTTATTCTCTGTTGCTATAAAAATTGGAGGTTGGATTAGGATTTTCAGGATTTGGAGACAAGAAACTGGAGATTGTACTCGGAGCTTAGAAGGAAGTAGCCGAATTTTCAAGGCTGATAGAGAGGTTAAATGTGGAACAATTAGGAATAAGAATAGCTCAAGACAATATAGCGTTAGTGCTATATGCTTCAAGGGAATTTTCAACAAGATCTATGCTATTTAAAATTTTAGTGGCAGAAACAATCTTGGCAGAGCATCTGATTAAAGGAAAAATAGCAAATATCCATATCCACATGTATCTATATATATACATATTCATTTATGGGTATGCCTTTTTAAGCTATATTAATATATATTTATTATTATTATTATTATTATCGGAGTAAGGGTCTCACTATTGCTATATGTTTTAAGCTTCTTCACTATATGATGGGCTTTTTATACTATAAAGAGTAATGCCAAACAATTACTCAGTGGTCAGGTACTTTAGAGAAAGGAGGCAGTGATTCCATTTTAGGAGAAATTTGGTTGGAGAGAAATTAAGGATTTGTATTAGACATAAGAAAAGGTGATGAGAAGGTTTTAACACTTGTTGTTGGTGCTCTTTGTTAAGCTCCCTTTTTCAGATACCTAAAGCCAAGTAGATGCATTAAAATGTGCCCGATCTCAAATATTCTCCCATGATTTGTCAATTTCTGACGAGATTCTTCTGTTCTTTTCAATCTAATATTTTACAAGATTGAAAAAACTAGCTTGCTAGAGTAAACAACTTCATCCCTAAACAAAGGACTCAAGATAGCTTCCTCTATCATTCCATGAAAACGTGAAATAAAAAACATAGACATGCTAGCAATCTTCCATAATCGAGACCAACATGGCAGCAAAAGGGCATAGCAACTATAATTATCTGTAGCCCCCTGCTCAAATGATAACAATTGGGGA